GATATATATGCTTGATTTTTATTGTGCATCATAGATCCATGGAATGGTTAGGGTTGGAAAGGACCTTAAGATCACCTAGTTCCAAAAGCAGAACTGCAGCAGATCAAGAAGGCAATTAAGTAAGCAAGCATTTATACCGGGGATAATTAATAAAATCAATGAAAGTGGCAAGTGCCTCAACCAATCTCTGGCCTAATTAGGAACCTAGACACTTACCTAAGCTAGACCTGGGAAGAAGAGAAGCAAGATTCATGTCAGTAGATGTGAGAAGTGGCTGGAGCTTGAAAAGTGCCATGGCCTAAGAGTATTCCCTGTAACAGGTTATGCACCTGGGAAATGAAAACCTGTGCTGAAGTGGGAAGAATTGAGTGGGGAGTAAGATGATTCTCACTAAGACCTGGTGACTCTTTTGGGTTTCCACGAAGTTTGCATGAGTTCTTGGAGTATTAGAAGTTAATTCAGTGCCCAGTTAGGTTAATGAAGGCCAGCACACAACTGTCTCCTCATGGCACGTGATTTATTCTTAGTTCTGCAATGTTTAGGACTACAGTAGAGAGTCTTGGTGTTGTAGCTGCAGAAGACTGTCAGGCTTGTGATCTTGCTTACTCTCTGAACTTCTGATTTTCCTTGGACAACAGGGATGCTACAGAAGTATGTATGCATTTTTAAGGTGTTGAGTGTGATTTAGCAATCCCAAGCAAGGCTGAACTGCAAGCTTGCTTTCTCGGCCTCCTAGCAAACCCTTAGGCTAGAGTCATGCCAGTGTTGTGATTGGAGACTGGTACGCTGAAGTGGATGTGAGCTTCTGTTTCCTCTCTGTAGGCCTTCAAAATATTCATATGTTTGCTTGTTTTATGTTGTGCCCTTTCAAAGGGTCAAAAATTGAAAAAGCAAGTGCTATTACCAGCTGCAAACATTGCTTTCTCCCCTCTTTGGCTGAAAATAAGTTGCACCTCTAATGACTTAACAAACAAGGGTAGAAAGGAAAAAATACTTTTTTCCTTTGTGTTTACTTAGTGCTTTTTACAGCTCCGAGTGCTGTCAGTGTCATTGTTTCCCCTTTATTGTCCAGTAATTTCCCCTCTTGTCCACGTGGGTCTTTCCCACAACAGAGGAGAGAAAAACAAGTTCAAAAAGTAGGAAAACACCATTGTAAAACCAAAGAAAGAGGGAGTCTGCCTGTGCTGTGGGCAGGTGGAAGGTCATAACTCGTTTTCACACATGAAGTAGAGATGAAGGTGATAAGGGCTCTTTAAACTTTCCGGCATTAGCTTAACTCATGGAAAAAGCAGACTTTTTGGCTAAATTTCATACTGCCCCAGCGGTAGCCTTTTGCTGATGGCTTTTCTGTCTCCTAGGACCAGATTGTCAGCAGCCGTAAACAGCACTTTGGAGTTCAGCACGCAGATTTTCCAGTGTATTTAGCCTGTTGGCTGCAGTGCTTATTTTGAAAATCCAGTTCAGATCCGTGCTGATAATTCAGTAACTTGTTCCAAAGTTAGATCTGTTTCTCCAATGTCCCCGGGTGGGCCAACTCTGTTGTCAAGACTCTCTTGAGAAGTACTTGGAGCTATTTTTTTGTGCTGTACAGAGGCCCATCAGTTAGGAGGCTGATGCTGAATGAAGCAAACCTTGGTTAGATTATTCTTTGGCTATGACGATCATGAAACAACAAGCCCTTATTTCTCCTGCCTCATGTGTCTCCATGAAATCTGCATTCAGATCTGCTTTCTTCCTTCCTCCTTTTCTTCCTTCCTCTCCCCTCTGCTCAGTCTCTGTTGGGATCCCGTTCCATTCTTGGTGTCACGTAGGGAGGGAGAGCGATTTTAGAATGCTTCTTCCCACACTTACTCCCCATCTGTCTGTTATTTGTTCTCTGGGGTTTTTTATTTGTTTGCTTTCTGCCTGTGTCCAGGATCCTTCTTCACATGCAGCTATTTCCCATACAGATGCCTAAAGCTTCTGGAACAAGTGTCCCAGGCTGTGAGGACCCTTTTTTGGCTGCTGAGGCTGATTCAGACAAAGACTTCCAGGCCCACAGTGAGGATGACTTTGCTGGCTGCTGCGCTAGGGCATGCTTTCACTTTGGCTTCCAGAGAGGAGTTCCTGAGCAACAGTCCACAGAGGTGGCAGCACCCAGTCACTACATTTTGAGAAAATGTAAACTTTTAGGCAGCACCTGCCCCTAAATTTGCTCTGTAACTCAGCTTTATACCTTCTTCTGTACTGAAAGGAAAATGGCTTACCTTTCCCAGGACGGGAAAATCCATGCTTCACACTAGCTCTGGTCAGCAAGCATGTTACCTTCCCCCCACCTCCCCTCGCTTAGACTTCACCTGCCTGAGGAAGGCACCTCAGAATACAGCTTCTGCCTAGGAAGATGTTTTCTTTGTGAAGCTGGGATTAGTCTTTTAAACCCCAAAAGCTGTGTAACGGTGGTGGCAGGGATGGGCAAGACTGAGGAGATCTAGAGCAGAGGGGAGAGCTGCAGTTCAAACCTGGTTTCGCATTTCATTCTGAGGGAGCCAGATGTCCCCTTGACTCCTTGCACAGCAGTCGGGGCTATGCCATGAAGTTGACAGCAAGGCTGAAGCTCCCTTAGCTGCAGCACAAGGCTTTGCAGAGGTTTTACACAAGCACAGAAAGTCCTAGTGGGTTTGGCTCAAACAGCCAAATAATCTCTTACAGAGTATATCCAAGCACTTGTATTTTTCACCTACTCTTGTTGCTTGTATTCTTTGGCATTTTCAGATCAGGCTGTAAATAAGGTTTGACATAATCTTTCCACTGTGAGGCAGTTTTGTGTTTGGATTTTTTTCCTTTTTCTAAAAACTCCTTTTTCTCCCCCCAGTTTTTTCAAAGATCCTGAGACAGGGAAGAATGGATGTGGATTTGGGATTGTTTCTCACTTTAGCTACTTCATTAATTCAGTAGTCTTGTCATTATGACACTTTTTCTCCTGGACAATCTCTTGGAATTGCTCTTCTTCCAGCAAGCAGGATTTCACCAAGACCAGCAGAGGCACATAGTTCAGTCAGGACTGTGATGGCTGATACATTTTGCCTCTCTTTAAGCCAAGTCAGGGGAGGCAAACAAGAAATTCTTTGTTAAGTATCTTGGGGAATAAATAAGTAAGTGAGAAATAAGATTATGTAAGAGAAACATTCTTGTTCAACAACGAAATGAAGACAGGCATAGTTTGTGGGCCTGATAGAACATGAGCTTAAAACTAACTTTTAAAACCCTGCAAGAAATGGGATGAGATCTACAGACTAAATGCTGGCTAAAACTCTTATGTGATGTTAAGAATGAAGTTGCACAAGAACATCTCTTTTATAAAGTGTTAAAAAGCTTATCTCAACAGATCCATCAACAGGCTGGACTGTAACCAAATTTCTCTATTCAAATTCTCTACCACATCATTTTCATTGTGTGCAAGCCATATGCTGTAAAGGCAGCTGTGCGGTCAGCCTGCTGTGACCCGTCACCTGACCCACCACAAGAAATGAGGACCATATCTTTGCTAAAGCTGCTGCTTTGCACACTGCAGTAAGAGTGAGGGATGCTTCTGGCCCTCAGCCTACCTTGGACACTGGTGCTCTCTGCAGCACATGTTTCTCTGAGTTTAAAACAGTAAGAGCATGTTCTCCCTCTCTTTTTTTTTTGTCCTTTCTCTTTCTCTCTCCAGAGTCACCGTTGTTACTAGTTGTGCTGGAAAGCAAAGGAAACCTGCAGGATTCAAGATGCAAACCTGAGCAAGTGTCATGTAGTCACAGTGCAGTTCACTGTCAAATTACCACGGAGTGCAGCTGTCAGTTTTGGTTAGGGAAATCTATGAAATTACTCTCTGGTCTTACAACTTGAAGAAGTGTGCAATAACTTGAATTTTGTAGGAAATCTTATAATTGGATTGCTTTCATTCAGAGTGTATGCTGCCCACACACACCTATTTTTGTGGGGAGATGGGGCAGGAAGAATAATTAATACACATATGCCAACTTGGGACACACCTTTAAGGTTTGAGATTTGTGGTGATTTGTTTTGGTTTCCTCTCTTCTTCTAGATAAGGGCTATGTCCATAAGTAACTTAAAGCTTCTGAGAAATGCCACTTCAAACCTGCTTCTCAGGCCCCTTGTAAGTCAGGTGCTGGGTCCTGCATTAGCAAACTGCTAATTTGCAGGTTGCTCTTCAGTATGCTTAGTGTTAGCATGTACAGGTTGTTAAACCAGAGAAAAACATCACATACATGAGTATATACACACACACTTAAAACTAACAAACGTGTTTATTACATACTAATTTTATCATAATCATCAGTGCTGGCAGAGATGACCCCTCTCCATTGCAGTGTAACCAGATAAACACATAGTGTCTTGGAATTCCTTCAGTCTCAGACACATGCTGCCTCTTTGAAGAATCTCCAGTCTGGGAACTGGTATCACTGTGCTGAACACCAGTATACTCACTATAACAATGCAAACGTGGCCAAAATTTGAAATACCAGGTGTGAACACACTTTCAGCATAGAGGACTTTGTGAAAGGTTTTTGAGATTTAATCAACATACACACCTACTTCTTTCCTTGAAAGATCATTACAAGCCTCGGGAAAGGAGTGTTATCGAACAAACTTAGATGCTTGGCTTCTGTCCTCACCATTGTTGTTGCTGGCAGCCATACTGAAATGATGCAGTGTATTTAAAGGAGGCCAAATATATCCTCACTGGCATGTAGAGGAAGTTTCCACAAAGTCATACAAAAGAAAACACTGAGCGCAGAGATCCATTCTGCTGTGTCCGTGCAATATTCATCCAAACAGCTTACTCGTGAGAAAATAAATAGTCCCTTGTAACACTTCTCAGCTAAGAAAACAGGGCAACAGTCGAATTTAAATGCACGACGTATGGGAAAACTTCTCATGGCCAAATATGGTCTGTGGCAGTCCATCACTTGCTGTATTACAGTTGTCATCTTCATTTTTCTGTGCTTTGCAGTGAGCAATCAGCTGTCCTGTAACCGAAGGAAAATAGGCACTTACTTACATGCTAGCAAAAGGGATCAATAAAAGCACAAGGCTTTGGAAATATAAACTTTATGAGTGGCAGCAACAGAAATCAGACTGATACCCTGCCCCAGTCTGGATCTGTGTATTTATCAGAATACTAGGTCTTGTAAGTCTAACACAGGGCCCATAACTGTGCATTGCGAAAATGCAACAGCACAGAATGTGGTCAGCTATCCACCAGGCTATTTGAATGATCTTCAAAAAGGAAAGTGCCCAATTCTGAAAAGCACATACTGAATCCAAGACCCAAACCCCCAGTTACAGTAAATACAAACAGCAGCGTAGAAAACAGCTATCTATGGGTGATTTGACATCATTCTGAAAGTAACTCTTGTGCAAGAAGCAATGGCAAATTTTAATGAGAAAGCATATTGAAATTCATAAAATAACTTTATGAGACCTCAAACCCCAGCAGATTCTACGCTATCTTGGCTTCTTCTGCAACTCACCTCAGACTCCTGTGTTTCTGGGAGGGTCTCAATTCCATTGTGATCCTGTATGTGTTGTGGGGCCTCAGCTTCTAGCTCTATATCAGCCTGCACATTGGGCTTTTCATTCTCCCATTTTGCAAAGCCTTTGTTCTTCCCAGCTTTGCCATGGAATTTGGACTTCATTTTGGGGAAAGTATGGGAACCTGAATCATTCCAGCCTGCCTCATGCCAGAGTGGTTCTGTCTGTGTTGCTTGGCTCGTGGTCACCCTCTGCAGCCGCACTGAAATTTTCCGTGAAGAGCCAGTGACGAGGGTGATAGCTCTGCCATCGAGGTCCTGGTGTTCCCCAGCAACACTGGGAAACTCAAATACGTCATCTTGGACTGAAAGAGAAGGTGGAATTGTTTATTTTAACTAGCCTACTTTGAGATCTTTACAGAAAGATAACTTAAGCCTGGGGCAGGAGGAGGTAATCCCCCTATATGGAGCAGTGGTATAATTAGCAATATCCCTATGCTGCGTAGAAACTGATTTTGGCCTTGTGTGTGCACATTTCCTTCTCCCTCCACCTGGACGCTCAGGGTACAAGGCAGAGCTAGAATTGTGCCCTATGTCTCCCAGCCCCTGCCCATGAGTGGCTTATAAGGAGAACTACAATTTCCCTAATTAATTATAATTTTACTTCTTTTCAGCTGGGATAGGAGCACCAATATAGAGGATAGGGAGCCTCAAGCAGGAGACTAGGGCCATCACTGCAGAAAGGGATGTTGTAATCTGAGTGCTGAACACAAGCCCCAGTGCAATGGAATGTACTTTTAAAAATGGCATCAAGGACACCAGCTGTGAGAGAGGATTCCAAAAATGGTTTAAAATAGGAACAAGATGCTCTCACCTGGAGGCAGGGATGGGCTGCTAGGCAGAGAGCCATGGTTGCTGCCTACTGAGGTTCCTCTGGAAAATTTCCTGCATGCTAGCACAAGCAGGTCTCTGCATTGCTTATGGCAGTTGGCACCGCAGTCTGTAAAAAAGACATTGTCAAGTCACCAGATGGAAAGCCACAACTATCTGGTAATCCCTCAGGCCTATTAGCTGACAGATACCAAGAGGGACTTTGAAGGAACGAATGCTTTGATGGAAGGTGTGAAGGGAGTTACAGAAATGGATTATTTGGTGTGAAGGGTGTTATAAAAACTAGGTCATTTCCATGGCAGCCATTAATAGAAATCTGGCAGGAGCATGGAAGAGAGGGATGATATTCATCAGAAATTAGTCTTCAAGAAGCAACTTTGAATCAGTCAATATTTGACTTGGCAGGGCCCATTATAGTAAATACACTTGGTATGAAGACACTGGAGCATCTATGCTCTGACTGTGACAGGTAGAGGTCAGTGCAGACCACTGTAGATTAAAACTAGTCTAAGAAACTCAGTAAGCAGCATCAGCATAGAGTAAGCTCTGTTGATGTGTATCAGCCACCCAGATGAAAGTGGCCGAGTGCCTGCGCACATAGCCTCTGCTGGGCTTTGCTTCACTGCAGGTACACTCATCACTAGGTACATTATTTGAAGTGTGACTGCAGTACAGATCTTACCTGCAAGAAAGGGCCAAAGAGTGGAGGATGTGTCCCCCAGACTCAAGTTCTCTCTCCTTTGTGTTCCTGCCCTTGTTTGAAAATTGCTAACTCCCTTGTTTCCCTGTTGCTGCTCCACAACCTAACATTTTAGCCATCATCAAAGTGTTGTTTTTCTAACTCTACTAAAAGAGCCATTCTGCTCAGGGCAGCAGTGCTAGCATGATAGGTGAAGAGTTCTGGTTTCTCCCATCACCTTGTTCATATAACTCATACAGAAGTACCTGTACAGGTGTGGTTTTGATTGCCCTAAAGGTATCACACCCCCGCCACCCCCCAAATACAGTAAAGATCTCTCTTGGCAGCAGAGAACCTCTTTTGTTACTTGTAGACCACACAGTCTAGCTTTATCTCATTACCCGCAGTGCAGGTAAACAGCAGACCCAAACAGATTAACTCCCTCCCTCCTGCTGCTAGCACAGTGTCAGAGGTTCAAAGCAGAAGACGACAGCTCTGTGATCAAAGGCAGAAATCAACCATAATGGGTGCAGCACTCCAGTGATGCTAGCATGCTGCAGCAAAGGGCAGGCAGTAATTGCACTTGCTGACCACTAAGATCTGAGTGAGCAGCTCTGCTCTCTTACTGTCATGCTTCATTGCCTATAATTTTGCCTCTACAGAACCACTTCTGCACACTCTCTGCACTAGGCTGTCGTTACAAGCAATGATGCAGGACAGAGACAGGACATGCCTTCAGATCTCTGGTTGAGTTTACAGGGGTGCTATGACAAAAAACAGCATCCGCATCCTGACAGTAAAAGTATAGGCTGCAATTAGCCCTTTCATAGCTGCTCAGATGACAGTCATCAGGAATAACTGAATTAAACACGTTGGTTTAGCCATGCACACTTTCCCCACCCCTCTCTGAGGAAGAGATGTTTATGGGTGGACAGGGAGCAAAATATGATGTATCCTAAAAATAAAATACTGCAAATGTTTCACCCTCCTCCTGGGAGCCAGTGTAAGACTGAGGGGAAAAAATGCATATAAATACAACTAGGAAGCCCCAGCGTAAATGTTCCCTTGTGAATAACTGAGATGCAACTACAACTGTGAAAATCAACAGTGCCCTTCATCCAGGGCTGGGCCGCTTGAGAAATAAATAGGTCCAGGACTTCTTTAAAGCTAATGAGGACCACGACAATGTCATTTTTGGTCTGATATTCTTGCCGAATATGATGCAAGTACTGCATAAGAAATTAAGCATTTTATAAAAGCAACAGAAAGGACTGTAACAGCTCTAGGATTCTTTTTAAGTCAATTATCTCAAGAAGATCTTGCAGTAACATCTGCTGGGCAGTCTAGGAATTAAATATTTCTCTATTTCTAGCTCAGTCACTACTGCATTGCAAGGACAGTTAGGCTTCACTGCAGGCATGTGGATGCACATGACAGACAGCATTGCAAGCAGACCTTTTCCTGACCCCATGTCTCAGGAGATATATTGCAGGATGTCTCAGTGTTAGGATGAGGACACTCGGTTTTCCAGGGTGTAAGGTCTTTGCTGGTAGAAAGTGACACCTCATGGAGTCAGTGGCTGCTTTGGGCCTTTAGCTCACAGAACCTGTGTGGTTTCCTACTGGGTGCTATGTCCCATAATGCAGTGAGACTTCATAGTGTACCAGAAGTCACTGTTCACGGACAGTACCAAGTGTAGAAGCAAAATTTGGATAAGCAGATGTTATTTTAGTAAAAAATACAGTTGGCCTACTTGTGCTAAACCCCTCCACCTATAGCTTGAAAAAAATCCATGCAATATTTATTTACCTTTGCATTTGTAGCCTTGTTTGATTATACCCCAAAGCTGCAAAGAAAGACAAAAGAACGTCAAGGAATCAGAAAAGAAAGCCGGAAGGAAAACGAGGTCACAATGAGGAAGTACCAATGGCTGCAAAAGCACAAACAGGATACAACTGCTTTTAACACCCTTCCTGTTAAGCAGACCTTCCCCCCTAATTGTGATAAGACATGTGCAGCTTTCTCCCTTACTCCTACTACTTACGGTGGGACTACAAGAGAAGGAGACTCACAGATGACATTTGCCTTCAGAAATGGGTGAAAAATTGCCATCATATCAAGCTTACTGAAACCAGCAGAGCACATTCTGCTTCTAGGCTCACTAATGTTATCTGTGCGAGAATTTCCAGTGTACATCCATTCTCCAGATACAAGAATGACCCATGCCATCCAAACACAGCAGAAGAAACAACCACTGGAGATAAAACTTACGTTCTTGGTTCCCATACTGGTCTCCAGCACTCTTACCCACAGCAGTCTGATTTGTACACCTGACTTTTCCCATTAAAAAAGTTGAAGACTGACACAGTCAGAAAAGCCACTGAATTCCATCTTTGCCTCCTCCCAGAAACTGTCCTTCTTGACGTATATAATGACCAAATGCTAAACTTCCAGGATGCAGTGTATGTCATCCCACTTTTGGGAGTTTTCACTGCAACGTGAGCAGGGTTGCTTGAAAGTAGAAAAATTCCCTAGCTAATTGTTATCTACACACTCAGAAGTGCTGTTATCTACAGTATTTTCACTCTGAGAGGCAGAGAGAGGAAGGGGCAGTTTTTCCAGCTCTAGCATTAAAGGAAAAAATCAGCGAATCCAGTGTTTGTTTATCCTGAACTCATTCAAAACATTACCAGGGAGGATGAGCACATACAGGCAGCTGAAACAGCACATGGATCCTTACCATATTTATAATAATCCATGCACAGTTTACAGGGGATGAATATGGTCTTTAAAGAAATGTTCAAAAGGAAGAGCTGGAGAAAATTCAGAGTACAAAGGAAAGAGTAAAATAAAGAAAACAGGAAGATTCCAGGAGAACGAAAAATTCCATACACTGCACAAAAGAATTTGCAAGGAAAAAGAGGCTTGCAGAAAGCAAAATAGATTAGGTGGAAGAACAGAGAATAGAAGAGAAAGGCCAACAGCAGAGGAAGTTTCCATAGAAAGCCTGCTGCTTGTTTTTTCCAGCTAATGCTGTATATAAGCACAGTAAATGCAGTTGCTGTGGTCAGGCAGTGGGAGTGGAGCTTCCCAAACCCTTCTTGGAAGAACAGTAATAACTTTTTTCTCCAGGTCTCTTTGCCTGGATCACTGTAAGAGACATGGATTGTTGTTTCTTTCATTTAAGCTCTAATCTGTTCCCACTTTCTCCTCACCTTCTCAGCTCCGTACCTTCCTCCTATGCAAATTTGGCACCACTCTTGGGGTTATACACCACAGTGAAAGCTTAGTTGAAGTGCCATGTCACGAACTTTGACCTAAAGTTTTGAATCTGTCTGACACAGCTTTGCTCCATAGCTGGCTTGAGCCAGCTCCAAGGTAAGAGGATCTGTGCAAATTCAGATTATAAAGCTCAGCAGGATGGCTGGTCACCTACCCTGCCATGCAGTATAACTCAAGCTGTGGCATGGAACTGCTGCCAGCCATGGACATATCCATTTTATGCTGCTTAATAGCATCAGGGTTTAGACTGACCTTTAAAGATCATATCTTTTTAATAACAGATATTTTATTGAATACCGTGTGCATTGCACTGTCATGTCAATTCATCCTGCTGCACTGTCAGCGCACATTATTTTGACTGTGAATCAGTGCATCAGTTTGAAATTAGGCTCCCACCCGTGGACAAGCAGCACTGAAATGCAGAACAAATATGCAGCAGATTTTGTAGTTGGTTCCTGTCCTATCAGCTCAACTCATCCGCAGAACAATGCCAATGACTTCAGTGAGTTGACAGGAAAAATGACCTTATTTCCATTTCCTGTACAACCCCTTACTCATTTGTATTCCTGCATTGGATGTAATCAGGGAGATGTGAGAAGTCCAACAATAGCCAATTAGCAAATTGATGCAGGAGAAAAATATCTGGTGGTGAGGACATTGCAGGGCAGTCCCCAGGCCTTGCTTTGCTATGGAAGCCGTCCAAACATGAACCGAGTGTCATGAATGCAATGACGTCCTCCTGAGGCTGCAGGCAGCCTGAAACAATAGATTCAGACCAGTGACCGCCTGAGCTGTCTGCTGGAGCTGTCAGCTTAGCCCACCAGCATGCTCCTGAATCAGCATTGACCGTGTTGCCTCCAAGGCTTTTGCAGTTCTAGCGGAAATAGGTGGAATTCCTTCTGTCCCATGGCCTTGATCAGTGGTTGCAATGGGGACCACGAGCATCTGAACATGACTGACACATCACAAAAAAAGCAAGCAGAAGATGGGAGGAGGGACAAGAGCAGGAACACCAGAACTGGCCTGAAAGGAGGCACCTTTTTGCACTTAGCAGTGCTGTTATTGTTACTTCCAACTGTGAAGAAATATTACTTAGTGGAAAAGTTCACAAAGTACAAGCTGGAGATTTCACTGTGACAGCAGAGGCACATCTGCTCTGGAGAGCAGGGATGACAGTGAATTTACAGCCTGTATGTGGGCCACACAAAAGCAGAGGACATGGCCCTCTGTCCTTATTGCTTTGGCTGTCTATATGTAGACATTTAATTTTGGTTGAGTGTGTGCATTGAAGTAACTTTTAAATCATAGTAATGCCTTGTTCTTTACTACACTTGTTTTGAAATAGAAAAGTTGGAGGAGGTTTGCAAGCAACACAAGTATTCACAAAACCCATTATTTCCAAGCTATGTACAAAGTACTCTAATAGGTGGCGTCTGGTAAGTTATGGCTAAGAGAAAAAGCAAAAAAACCAACCCCAACAAATAAATTAAAAAGTTCTTACTGTACAGAACTGCTGGAAGGTCTTTTGATTTCTTGACCGAATTAGAAGATTTGTTAATTCAATAGAGAAAAGATTAAGGCTGTTATGGTCATTCAGAGAATTATGAACATGCTATGTTGCCATGTGCAATTTCCTGAGAAAGAACTGCTTTTGCTTCATCTACATCCTCTGTTCCAGACACCCATTTTCCCTTGAGCTTGTTTACATGGGAAATCAAGCCAAATTAAAGACCTTAAGATAAACCAAGTAAATCCATTCATATAGTGTCTAATATCCTTTAGCTAACAGAATTTTATTCTCCCCCACACATTCTGCAACAGTAATTCTTACAAATGCAACTTTTTTCAGGAACCACCAAAACAAAACTGGATAGCACAGCTACAACATGAGTACAACATAAGTTTTGTGCTTCTGAAATGCAATGAGATATTTGCCCAAGGGACTTTACAATGCATGGAGCCAGTTTCACCTGGTCTACTTTGAAGAGTAAAAAAAGTGTGTTTGAGATATACTATTATTAAAGACATACTTACAAATCCTGCACAGTGTTCACAGAAAGTTGGTTTAAGATAGGTCATCTCCTGAAAGTTATGAATAAACCCTGGTCCCATTTTACACTGGAACTGTGATTTAGCTCTCAGAAAGTAAGCCATCATTTCCTCTTTGCTTATAAGACCATCTCTGTCAGGGGAAAGAAAAGTAGATTGTATCTGTCACTGCTCATAGCACTGAACAATTCAGGATTTTCTCACTGCAAAAAGCATGCAGCACACATCTTTGAAAAAGCTGGAACAGTCCTGGCATAAAAGAAACCCCTTAGAGCTTGGTGGTTCTTACTCTTCATAAAAGAGCAAATACAGAACTTACAGCATGGACCTTGGTTTCTCACCTGCTCATGGTACCAGAGCACAGATCATGCCATTAGGTTCAGAATCTTGACTTATTGTTCACACAGACCAAGCAGTTATGCCCTTGGCTGACCTCCAGCCTTGAGAGCCAAAGAGATTCTGGGCAACAAGAACTATCAAACCCAATTCGCTAGGAAATACATATTATATATATATCACCTAGAAAATGTGCTACCCTCCCTCCACTACATACACCCATTTCCTCTCTAATGTACTCAACTTATGTGTTTCATCATTCTGATGCCTGGTCTGGATACAGCATTTCCACTGTAATTTGATAGTACTCTAGGGGTCTTGACTCTGCAGGAATTCCTCATAAAGCTACTACATAAATCATTTTTAAGGTACCAGGTAAAGCAGGACTCCAGCATAGGTGAGCTTATAGAACTGATTACAGCTTAAGAAGTTAAATGAGAACAGAATTCAGCCTTTGGTGATCCTCTGTTCCTTAAGTGAGATGTCAGACACAAGAAGCTTGTGAGACACTATTTCTTCAATAATTAGTTTTCATGAATATTTAAATAGAGGAAAAGAAACAAAAAACCACAACCCACAAATAAACCTCCAAACTTACTGGTCTTTGTCCAGCACACAGAAAGAGTCCAAAAAGGGGAAGTTGGCAGCTATACTTTCAAAGTCTTCCTGAGAAATATAGCCATCATGGTCATGGTCATAATTCCTAAAGACAGACTGAGGGGAAATAAAAAATAAAAAATTACTGTCTTAAGATCTAGCCTATCTTGAATTGATACCAGTTCTTCAATCCTATAATTACATATAACTTAATGTTCAGCATTACCAGTTGGATGCTCTGCTGCCTTGTTCTATTCCTTTTATTCCTACTTTGTACTTCAATATGCATATTTACAGGACTGTAGAGTAAAAAAATGGCTAATTTTTAAAGAAAACTTGACCTCAGTATTCATCTAGTGATGGTCCTCCACACCTCTTCAGACATCATTATTCTTGCTTTTTTTTTTTTAATTCTTTATTGGAAATGTCACTGAAATTCTGCCCCATGTGATATACTCCCTTTGCTTCATTATGTATGTTTTTAATCACAAAAAAAGAAATAAACCAAAAACAACTCAACAGCAGCTTTTCCATGAGTATTTCAGGTGGTTTTGGCTTCACTTCTCTTTTAGTTGGTCATCTCTTCTCTGCCACAGTACTGTTTCAATCTGATTCATTCACTAATACCTTGATACCCACACTATGAGCACTTTGCATATGACATCCATTCCCTCCCGTCAACGTACCCCAGCCCATCACTAAGAAAAAACAGACACGGGATCGAATTTAAAAGGTTGCATAAAATTAATGGAAGCCCTCCTTAGCTGCTAAGGAAGTACTAAATTCTGTGTTACTGATTGCAAAGATGTGCAAGGGGCATTTACAGCTACACATAATGCTGATGGGAGAATCATGAGTGTCAGAGTCAAAATGACTATCTGAAAGCCATATATTGAAGCACAAACTCATTAGATTAAGAGTTGGTTGACAAAGACAAGAATTTAATACACTGAGACCTCCGAAAGGTGTTTGCATTGTCCTTATTTTAATGAGAAGGTGATGAAGCCAATTTCTAAGCACCTGTCAAATGATCTGTAAGCAATGATCGGCAGACCTCAAAAATGCATTAGCAAGAAGGAACCAATACATAAACCCAAGTAGTATTCAACACCTAGCAATAAAAACAATGCCTTAAAGCACAACTCAAAGCAGCTAGTAAATGACAAAGATTGGCAAAATGAAGACAGCTGTGCAGAGTGGTGTGGAGCTTTTGGCAAGCTGTATCCGTAACAGTCCCAAAACAAGTTTTAATCCTGTCAAACTCAAGATCATACTTCCTGAACCAGGCCAAAATTGTGGAATGGGGGACTGCATCTCCCCACCTCTGGAACAAGAACAACCCCTCCACCCAGCACATTATGGAAAGATTAAAGAGTTGCAACACATGACTTAGGTAAACAAGCTATCAAAGAGAGGTTTGGATGTTGAGTGATTTTTGTCAACACATATGGCACTGACAAAAGCAGTGCAGGAACAGCACATGCAGTTCTGGCATCCCACATTAAGAGAAAAATTAAACTTTTAAAAAATAAGATCATGTACAAAAAGTAAAACACAAGATATATTTGAAGTCTGAGTGAGACAACTGGAGACTTTAAGTTATCTTAACAACATAATCCATTTAATGATCTATAACACGGATGAGGTCAGAATTTAACAGTTCCTCCCAGGCTTAGTTACTAATTTGTAAAAAGCAGAAGGAAATATTGCTTCATTACCTATAACACATTCCTGGTTCCCCTGGATGCTGCTTAAATCACTAGAAGTCCCTTAAACACCAACATAACAAGGCTCAGTCTCTCCAAATGAACGTGGTAGTGTTCAGTTTTGTTTGCATTACCTAACACATCACCTTCCAAACTCATGCTGGAAGATCCCAGATGTAATTCTCCATGACCTCATGCCTGTATTTTTAAAGCAATACCAACACAGTGCTATCTTTACCATACATAATATGCTCTGAACAGTCAAATAACAGCAAGTTGAAAACCAATATAGGGTTTCTGGAAAACTACTCTGGACCTAGTAACATGTGAGTCCTTGTTTCTGAATGTTTGCACTTTTGCATCCAGAAACCTGCTTACTAATCCCATATCTGATTGCAGGAATAAAATAAATAATTCTGAATGTATCAATAAAGGCTCGAATTTCTTATCAGATGTCTGAAATTAATCCCAACCATAACAATCCCTTGAAAAGCTTGTAATTAATTATAATGATGACAATATCCAACCTATTATTCTCTTTGACCAGTATATTCTTCCAAGTACTTACATCCACCAGCTTTCGTATGTGCTTGTTAATGACTGTAGGGTCAGGTTTTGGTACCACTCCAGATGCCCACTCCAGTGTCACTACTGGCTTGTTCGGGGTTGTCGGGGAGGTAGGCTGCTGAAAAATGGATCAGAACACAGAGATTTTCAAATCTGAATTATGAAGACAAATTTCCCCTTAAAAGCAGTTCTATATGTCAGAGCTACAACCACAGACTACTGGAGTCCCTGTGCTGTAAAAATGTGCTTAGCAAAGCATCAGGCAAGATTTTAAAGGGTTGCTTGCCTTTGCTGACAGCTTCACTTGGGCTCTTTGTGGCACCTCACAGCTAACGCTGGCAGTGGCAATACACAGCAAGCTCAGAAGCAAAACCAGGCAGACTTTCCTCACTGCTACCTCTAGAGGGTTCAACAGCAACAAGAATGGGACGAAGAGGGAAGGAAGGAAGGACAGTCTCTAGAGACGGCAGACATCAGAGACAGGTAAGTCCAGAAACTTGCTTTTCCCCTTCCTGGTAATGCCCCCGAGGAACTCTCCACCACAATGCAGCCTTGCCCCAACTCCCTGCTGGAGAGACTGTGTCCAGAAGCCATGCAAGGGACTGCAGCAGCCTGAATAAGTTAACCCTCCTGCTCTCTGCAGCACCAAGAAGACAGTGGGATGCAAAAGCAATGGAAGACACATGCTCTGCAATCCCACTGGTTTCCAGCTGAGATGTACCACGATGAACATCTTAATTCATCCAGGCGGCCTGAGCAGAAAGGGGCTAACCTTTTGTTTGCTTTGCAGATAACACCAGTCAGACTATTTTATTTTGTAAACAGCTTGGTCTTAACAAAACAGTAGCTGACAGCTCACTTGAGGCACAGAGCATGCAGCCCAACTCCCTCCCCGCCACTCTAGTGCTTTGGGAGGAGCTCTGTCACACAGCTCAGCTTGTTCAAGTAGAAAATACAGGACAAACCTGAACACAGGTTCAGGTAAGACTTCGAAAATCAGCAGTTAGCATGAAAAATGCTGCAAGGCATACTAGCCTTTCCTTACATCTGCCACTGGACAGCTAACAGGTGAAGCAGTGTCAAGCATATAAAATTCAGCATAGTTTGGATCAGAAAGGAGATGGCTCACAGCCTCAGAAAGGCCCCTGAACTAGCTGTTGAGTAAGAAACCCATCTCCCATTAAATTGGTGTGAGTTGAGAGGGAGATAATTAAGCCATGTAAAGATGTTACAGTTATTACTGTGTAAAACGAAGGTATTGTAGACTTTGGCATTGAGATGAAAAATGATCGTAAGGTCGTAATTTACTGCCTTTTATAGGAAAAAAAAAAGGATGTGTTAGTGGGTTGCTTTATTAACCTGCACAAGTAAGTTTGGGAAATAATCACTATATGAACATAATTCAATTCCAGCAAGAAATACAATAAACCTAGACATCCAGCTCTACATGCCAAAAGTACTTACAGAATCTTTTAATCCTAAAATTAATGTCACTGCACAGTGGCAGACCAACAGTTTGGCAAGTGCTTTTGCTCTAAAAATATGTGGAAATACAGCAATCTTTTGAAGATGACATGCTACGTGATAACATGTAACATACCAGTATTGTAATATTCTTACAGCTATGGTCAGAGCAGAAATATGAAATGTGTCTTCTTTTAACAAAATCTTAAGACTAAAAGGAATCAAAGCATCAGTATCAAAGTGTCGGAGTGTGCTAGACTAAGGCCTTACAGAGAGCTAACTCCTGCTGGTCGGACTGCACAATGGCAGAAAGAGTCTGAATCCATTGGAGCCTTCCTCTGTCTTCTGGGCTATTTCATTTGAAGCCTCATTCACTTTTTATGAGTTTTTTTGACAAGTTGCAATGAAAACGTCATGTTACTGCCCACTAGCCAAAGGGAAATGTTGGTTTCTTCTATTTCACTCATAGGCTCGTATGAACAACCATAATTTTATTTCTGTGTTTGAAATGTATGCTGGGAGGAAAGGTACTAACCAGTGTTCAGAGACTACCCAGCTGAATTTACTGAATGTTCAGAAATACTGTGTCTGGTCATGCTGTTCTGATTCAGCCTGCATCTCCTGTCTGTTTCACCAGCACAAGCATAAATGGTATCAAAGACTGAAAAAGCATTTTAAGATGGATGTGAACATTTGCTTATTTTGGCATTGAAATAAATTCTAGTCAATGCAGAAAAAGTGTGTGTGTTTTCAGTGGCATAACTGCACCAGGCCAATAGCTGCACTAGTAAAAGCTCCCAACAAGAAGATAACAAATGCTCGGAGAAAAGCAGGACAGTGTGACAGGGAGATGCTGTACTGGACGGTCAGTCTTCAGTATTTTTTTAGGCTGCTACACAGACTGAAGACTCTCCTCCCAGTTTTAGCGGAATGAAGGTCTTGCTCGAGCCCCTGTTAACAGCAGGCTCCTATGCTAACAGATTTGCCTCCAAAATGACTACAGCAGCATGAGGCATTTCCTTTGCAGTGCACCTGCACAGGAGTTGTATCCATACAACAATAAGAAGCAGCTGGAATGATATGACTACGCTGTCATGTCACCTTTGGCAATTTTTTTCTGCATACAAAAGCTCTGCAGATTCTTTCCCCTCTAATACAGCTTGTGTGCTTTGGCATTCCATCAAAGAAAAGTATGCTTCAAATAGTCTGGCTTCTGTCGATTCAGCTGTAGCTTTTTACCCATCAGGGTGCTGCAACAGCTCAATGTCACTGGTTATTCACTGATTGTTACGCAGAAGTCTCCCACAATTGCTGGGTACTGTTGAAGTTCATAGCACTGTTTATATTGCTTTTGTCCTTCCTAATGCTCAAGCTGGAGATCAAAGCAACAGTGTGATAATTTTCTTCTTCTACAGTAGTGGCCCATTAATCCTTCCACAGCACAGAGCTGTGACAAATCAACTCAGCTGGCAGTAATGGGAGTACAAGGGAGCCAGAATAACTGCGATAAATGGCAACTGTTATGGTCAAATCATACCCAGCAAGGACTGGAGACTCAGCAATGAAATTTCAGGTGTTCAAACTGAGTTAAGGTTGACTACGGAAATATTCAATAGCTTCTTTACTACTGCTCATTGTCCACCATTGAAAGCGCATACACAAAGTCCTAAAACTGGTCCCCAAGAGTGATAAATGATCTTAAAACCCAGAGAATCATAGAATAGTTAGGGTTGGAAAGGACCTTAAGATCATCTAGTTCCATCCCCCCTGCCATGAGCAGGGACACCTCGCACTAAATTATGTTGCCCAAGGCTCTGTCCAACCTGGCCTTGAACACCGCCAGGGTTGGAGCATTCACAACTTCCTTGGGCAACCTGTTCCAGTGCCTCACCACCCTCACTGTAAAGAACTTCTTCCTTATATCTAACCTAAACTTCCCCTGTGTAAGTTTAAAGCCATTACACCTGGTCCTATCACTACAGTCCCTAATGAAGAGTCCCTCCCCAACATCCTTATAGGCCCCCTTCAGATACTGGAAGGCTGCTATGAGGTCTCCACGCAGTCTTCTCTTCTCCAGGCTGAACAGCCCCAACTTTCTTAGCCTGTCTTCATATGGGAGGTGCTCCAGTCCTCTTATCATCCTCGTGGCCCTCCTCTGGACTTGTTCCAACAGCTCCATGTCCTTTTTATGTTGAGGACACCAGAACTGTACACAATACTCCAGGTGAGGTCTCACAAAAGCAGAATAGAGGTGCAGGATCACCTCCTTTGACCTGCTGGTCATGCTTCTTTTGATGCAGACCAGGATATGGGCTGAGAAGCCCTATACTTGGAAATTAAGAGGTTCTACCTCTTATGTTTGCTTTTAAGAATAATTCAGAAACATAAAAAGCACTGCAATGAATCACCTCAGCCTACTGGACTCTGCCCTCACACCCTGCTAAGCATTTCCAGCCACCCTTAGTTTTTGCTGGTCTCAGATTTGAAAGGGCTGAGATTTGAAAGGGCCTGAGAGCATCATGTGCTGCATATGATAGGTCATATAATTGTTAATGCACCAATGAAAGGCTCAGAGGAAAAACCCAAGCTTTGGCAGCAGAGAGTAATCCTGTAAATGAAATTCAGCTATTAATTAGAAAATTTATCTGTATCCTCAGACTTGCAAAGCATAATGAAAAAATGTACCAATGCAGCATTATCTTTAGTTGCACACATTAAAAAAGAGTAATATCTATTCTAAGGTGTTTAAACATTGCTTGAGAGCCCAAAATACAGGCAATTCTACGTAAGCAAACCAGCTTTTAAAACACTACAGCTAATGCTGTGCCTTACCTAAAACAAATCTTTGGACTCAGTGTTGTTTTACACAACTGCACCAGCATCCAGAAAATGAAGTAATGGTCATGCAGTGACATAACTTACAAAGGGTGTCTTCCCATAAAGCAGAACTATGGTTTCCAGAACTTGCAGAGGTTTTTTGAGAAATAATTAGTAATGAAGTCTGGCATGTTTCACTATTTACTTCTTCCAATATGCACTAAAACTTACAAATATTGACTGTGTTTACTATGCAGGCAAAACACTAAAAAGCTTTATGTGAATACAAATAAGGAAGCACATTAACTGTCATTTGAGAAAATGTAATCAACTGACTGCAGACAAAATAAGCAATATGTCAAAATGCAGTAAAAGATGACCTACAGATTTGGAGTTCCTTGGTTCCAGCACCAGTGAGAGCTTGTAGATATCATCCTCAGTGTGATAGAGGTCCAGAGACAGCTGTATGCAAGAAAGAGGTAAAACCAGTAACGGTCATTAGACTGGATTGGAAATACCATGCTTGTAAGCTTACTTTACAAGACATATACCTCCCACTGAAGCTAAACAAAAGTTTTGCTGCTCAGAGCCCAGGCTTCATGCCAAAGCTGCAGGTGCAGATGCTGGGAAAGCAGCTTTTCACAAGAGCTAATGTAACTGACACTGGTGAGCACACGTTGCTGCTCACACCTGTACTGAGCCAAGCAGGCACTGTACTCAAGGGCTGTCACAACCTGCATCCCAACATGTTGAGTGAGAGGGGCTGGATGCTGATCTTCTTCAAAGAGGGACATTGGCACTGTAGACCACCCTTATGTAAAACACTTTCTTCTAGCAGCTCAGTGGTCATGAGAGATCTCAGAGAAATTACCTGGTGAATACAAAACCTTCAGCAAAGATGTTGTAAAGGGGCTAGGCTAGAAGGACTTCAGATTGTGTTCTGCTCAAATTTTGTTCCTGGAGAACAGTCAGCTCTACAGCTTACTGCAGCTCTTCTACAGAGGCAAACCAGGTTTGGCAACAGTGCTGATGCAGCAAAGTGCCCCGTGAAGAGCAATTTCAGTCACTTTAACCCAGCTTGGCCTGTTCCTGATCCCCTCTCTGCAAGTAAGGCAAATTCCCTTTCAGCTTCTTTTAGATAAATGAAAGCTTTTTCTCCCATGTTTTCATTCTTTTCCCTAGAGGACTTATTTAAAAAGAAGAAGAGGTGAGAGTACGCTTAAAGTAAGGTGAATCTTTGTTTCACTTCGGCAGCTGGGGTCTTGCGCTGTTGCAGGTCTGCAGTAAAATCCTCCTCTTTTGGAGTGGTGAAGGAGAAAAGTAATCAACACTGTAGCTAATGTTTTGCAATGAGAGGAAATGAACATTGCATGTTTCCTGTGATCATGTCCCTACATTAATTGGCTTTGGAGTAATTGACATGATTTGAAGTTACCATTTACATTGCAAATCCCCAATTAAGCTAAGATTGAGTTAAAAGGATGTTTCCCAGCAGGCAGATAGAATTACTACTGACTAAATGACTGTGACAGAAGATTATTTTTAAAGGACCTGAAGTGCTGAATTAGAAACAAGCAGAAGCAGGACCAGCCACACTGTACTGCAGAACCACCTCTAAGAACCACCACCTTCTTTTAGGTAGAATTTTGTTCAATGAGTAAGACAGGAGACAGAGCAAACACATGGCTTTAGAGATGTCTAGATATTGCATTATTCATTTTGTCTAGCTGTAACACTACACTGATTTTTGAAATTCATAATTTGGTTATGGGCACCAGTGAAAGCCTGAGCATGCTGCAGGTTCCCTCACCCAGCTGGCATGCTGCTGTCACACAGAAATGTTAAGGACCTGTCCTAAAAATAATGTGGATCCAGCAACTGCTGTAACAAATATTGTTCATGTACTTAATTATTCAGTGACTGAATTCTTACGTTCCTTGGTGGTATAAAATAAGCAAAACTTAGTTGGAGCACATGATACTACCAGGTCAAGCTGAGACTGAGAGCAGAATTGCTAGTTCAAAAGGCCTTGTCCTGTGTCTGCTAAAGAGCAGTTTTCTCAGCAGGCCAGATGAGCAAGGTGTGGGTTTGGGGATGGAAATTCATTGGTATTTACTGAGCAAGTTTGTATCTCCCGCTCCCTGAACTATCTGACCTTATCATAAGTGGCAGTTATAACTTGATTAGGCACGTGTAAGCACACAGTGGACAAGGTATTATCTAGTACAGAAGTTTCAAATACTAGTAAAAACATTACAAGTATGATGACTGTTCATTTACATAAGTTTTCATTTTATATTTTATTTACAGGTTTGCTCTGCTGGATAAAGCCTATCAGGAGCTTTCCTAGGACAACCTTCACAGCAGGTGGCAGTTCCCATTCTAATTTGACTTTCATTGGTGTGGTATGTTGCCAAGCAATTCTGGCGGGGGGGGGAGGAGGGTGTGTTCAGGAGGGTGGGGGTGTGATCAGAAAGGCACAACATTTCTTTGGTAAGTGGAACTTACTGAACACAAGTTAGGGAGGGTGACTTTCAATTTGATTGTTTAGATATTTCTCATTCTCTTCACTAGACTGTGCAAATGACTGGGACTTTCCAGTCATTTGCATATAGTTTCAGAGCAGGTTAGATAAATAGCAGTTGGGATCTAAAAATAGTGGGGGGAAAATGGTGGCACCAAATGAGTTCTAATGCAGTTAGTATAAATACATTGTAGTCTTGTTGAGAGATTGAGATCCACTTCCAGTCCACAGAAAGTGATGAAACATTTACCCACAGGCTTTTATCACATTGTGAAGTAAAGCAATGTGGAAATAATGCACAGCAGGTAAGGAAATCCCTTAAGCATCCTTACCCAATGTAAGTTTTCTATGATGAAACTGACATTAGAGCTATTCTTTCTCTCTATTGCACTGCCAAGCTTGTGATTAGGTCCTCTTTTACTACTTCTGCTTCTTAGTTCCAGGTTCCAGATGCCAGGGACTGGCACAAAACTGGGTACAGTAAATGGAGCTGGAGCGAGTGTGGCAGATAAGGCAGGAAAGGAGGAAGAACCACACGTACTAAAACCAAGCATGCACTGAGTCCATCTTCATGTAACACACTCTTGCTCACCGGCAGCTGAGTCCTGGCACATTTATTCCTCTTGCCCATGTAACTCAGGCTCATTTACATTTGACAAAGGAGGACTTGCATCACTAGAGCAACCCCTCAGTTTTTGCAGTCTCCTATGCAGATGGCCTGAAGTTTACTACCGAGCCCTTGTCCCAGCTTTTAAGCCAAACTCTCACTTCATAGCTCTTAACACAACCTCCCCAAACACAGAGTCATAGAATGCTTTGGGTTGGAAGGGACCTTAAAGATCATCTAGTTATAAAAACCCCCTGCCACAGGCAGGGCCACCTTCCATTCGACTAGATTGCTCAAAGCCCCATCCGACCTGGTCTTTAACACTGCCAGGGATGGGGCAGCCACAACTTCTCAGGGCAACCTGTGCCAGTGCCTCAACATCACCATTTTCAAACCACTTGAGTGTATCAGCTTCCCCAGAGTTGATTGGGCTTCACCATCAAGAAAAGAAAAACCAGAGCAAATACCTACATGGCCATGAAATACTCATTTTATCTTTTTGTGCAAGTTCTTGTACTAGCAAACCAACACCCAATGATTTACTTGTCAAGCAAGCACAGGCCAGGCTGTTAGCACTTGCTAAGTGTGTTGCAAAAGGCAGCACTGCAAGGGATGGAGGCCAGGCAAGAGATTTACACATTGCTTATCAGGATAAAGCACATACTAAAAGCTTGCCCAGATAGAAGTGGCTTAATGGAAAAACAGCTGAAGTGAACAAACAGTTGGGTCAGCTGATGCACACGCAAATGAAAAGCACTCTACACATCTATATACATTTACTAGTTTTGAAGGGGAGTTTCTCTAAGTAAGTTAAAGATGAGAAAATTTTTTACAGTTTACATTAGAGAGGGAGGACATAGCAATGAATGAAATAATTATTTCTTCAGGCTCTGGAAACAGGGTGACTTTGGCAGCAAGCGTGGTAAAAGACCATTTGCACGGAGCAAGGTCAAATATTTTTAGTTGGCAGTTCCTGTCAGCTTTGGGCTGCAACACTTAGCTTTTCTTCTCTTTCTGTGACCCCAGGCTATAATGTAAAACTTTTTTATTAACAGAAAGATGGACAGAAACATTTAAAGAGTAATGACTTATATGGTAGATGAAGAAGCCACTGTAAAAAAACAAAAAAACCCCAAAACAAAACCAAAAAAAAAACCAAACCAAAACCAAGAACCCAGTATTCTATTCATACGTACAAATGAGGAAAAAACCTACATACTAGAAGAAAAAGGAGAATATTCATTTTATGATATGTACCAAAGGTCTGTTCTAGGAACTTTTTGTTGAACTTTGATTTTTTTCCTTTCCAGGAATCACCATCTTAAGTCAAACTGCCACATTATCAAATGTACGTGACCCACAACTACACTTCCAGTGATTACTGTGAAGACAGAATTGCCTTGGAAAGGTTTTAGGATACCTACAGCTGTCTACCTAGGATGCCCATGGCTGTCTCTGTCATTACTAAAAGGTACCACCATGGAATCATACTAATAGGTAAAAGCAGCACAAGTTAATTTTAACCCATGATCAGGTCTGGAATCAAAACTAGGATAACAATGTGTACTTACCTCTATAGATATGAATATTCCTACTGACATTCAACATCTGAACAACAGAAATTAACTGAAACATGCTCAGTACTTACGGTTAGCAGGTTAATTAAATCCATATTAGGCTCTAAATGATGAGAGGAAGTCTGCAGGGAAACTAGTTCACTCAAGGTAATGGAAAGCTGTTGCATTTTCACTATGTTAACTTTGTTCTCATCTATCCAGTCAGGGAAAATGACATGGACAGCAATCAAGTCTTTCAAATGAACTCCTAAAATAGGAATTTTGAAGCCAACACAGTCAGCAAAAGCCTTGCGGTAGTTGCAGTAGTTTCCATTGGAAGAGACCAGCTCTGTCATTTCGTTCCAGTCCTACAAACAGCCAGAGAAGCAAGTCTCTGTGAAAGCATTCATAGCATTTCCTTAATCTGGTTTAAATGAGCACACCTCATGTCAAGGTAATGACAGTGTTAATTTCCTCTCTGGCACAGGCAATCAAGCAGAGGATCTCCATGAGCTGATCCTTCTCCACAAAGAGGAATGCAACCAAAGTGCCTTTGTGGATGCCCTGCCATGATCCAAGTATTGTGCTGGTGAGACACCTGCACTGCAGAATCCATCAGACCTCAGAGAGGTGATGCCCTGCTCAGTATGTCTATATTTCAGTCTGCCATACCTTTGTGACTTCAGAAGAGAGATGAGAATGAGTTTCTTTCAGACGAGAAATAGAGCTGTGGCTCAGACCTCCCACAACTGCCATCAGTGTGTTGAAGTTCTGGAGGTGAAGGAGCTTCTGGAGGAGAGATTGATTATGGATAATTAAAAGTCAGGGAAATACATGTGGGCAGCTATCTCATGTTAAACACAACAAGCTAAAAGAGACAATCTGTCACTGCTAAAGCAGAAATCATTAAACCAGGAGACAAACGAGAATGGTTCAGCGTCAGAATTTCTTTATTTAGTTAGCTTAGCTCCGCAAGAAACACACAGTAGTGACAGTTGCCAACTAGAATACAACAAAGAAAAATTACTTTATAGTTATGTCTGCTAACTAAAAAACATCCCACCTTAACAAATAATGTGCAGTGATGTTGAACAGGCTATTCACTGAGGAAACAGCACAAAGAGCATGCAGTTCATTTGTTTTCTGCAATCTCTATTTATGTTATTGCTTTATACTGGAAGAAAAAGACTCATATGTAAGACTTACCTGTGCAACATTGATAAACTTTGTGATTACTTCTGCCCTTTGCTGGGGTGTTGGTTTGCTGAGAACCATGAGCTGGACCCATTTGGAGATACCGTTAAATAAAGCAATAGATCTCTCCAAAGTAAGATTGTTCTCCAAGCAGCCATGGATCACATAGCTTTGGTAGTCTGTGAACTAACAAAGGGAAGGCATTTTCAGTAAAAAAGTGGACAACTTAAGAATCAAGCTGAAACCAATCTTATTTTATTGCTCCTCTTGTTTAGAAAGTGACAGACTCAGGGTCAGCAGACCCTGCTGCAACTCAGTTCTTTCTTTAAAGTTTTTTTGTTGTTGCGGAAATACCAGCTTAAAACTTCAGGTTTTGTGTGTGAGGTAATACAGGAGCCTGCATGATGAGCATGATTACTACTTCCATAGAATTATCTTTCCCATAAGTTACTCAACACTTACAACATTTTATTCTGTGTAGCTTGACTTGATATCCTCATGGCATGATACTCTATAGGAATTATCTAGTGCTACAAGTAAGAAGCATATAAATAAGAGCTTTCATGCCTCTCCAATATCCTGGCCAATTTCATTATTGCTGTAAAGAGGGAAATCTTGGCCCCACTGAAATCCATAGAAGCTCTGTCACTCTTCACATGAGCTTGAACTGCATCCCAAGCAGCTAACTGCATCCATTTTCTTCTTATGGAAAAAAAATTCTGTTTCACAAGGAGCTACTTCTGATAAATCTTGCTCCTTTTGATGTTATTGTTCCTGCCCTGTGTGTTTACGGACGTGGTTGTACATGGGAGAACTATGGCTCCCAAGAATTAGATTTCCCTAAATGTTTGAAAAAGATTTTCATTGTCCCTTAAAGACAGATTTTCAGAAGCTTATGACATAACTTTAGCTTGCTAGCAGTGTCAGCCAACACACATTTCTTGGTCTTCTAGCTGATCAAAAATTGCCTGCTGGAAGACCATGTGATAGCATACACTCTAACACAGCAGAAACTTGTCTCAGAACTGCAGATAAACAGTATTTCAGTGTTCAGTTACTTTAAAATATTTTCTGTTATAGTTAACACTGTCCTTCCTTCCCCTCCATTCTTTTCCCCCCATATTTTTTTAAATGGTTAAAACTAAAGACAGGATTCAGATTAATCATATTCTACAATTACATAGCTGTGAGATAATGAATAGTAAAAGATTAATTAACTCTAATTAGTTACAGAGAAACATCTGACATTGCAAAATTCAAGCCAAAGAATTAACAAATTAGAAACAACCAGGAAAAAAGAAAATTAATTGCAGGTCTGAAGTTTTCTTTCTCGAATTCCCAAAGGAATTAAAAGTTTAGGTTAGATATAAGGAAGATGTTCTTTACTGTGAGGGTGGCAAGGCACTGGAATGCATTGCCCAAGGAAGTTGTGAATGCTCCATCCCCGGCAGTGTTCAAGGCTAGGTTGGATGGAGTCTTGGGTGACCTGGTTTATTGCAAGGTGTCCCTGCCCATGGCAGGGGGGATGGAACTAGATGATCTTAAGGTCCATTCCAACACTAACTATTCTATGATTCTATGATATCTTAAGTCTGGTTAGAAATCCATGCCATTTTTCTTGTTCCTCCTTCTTTGTTTAGGGTTAGCCTTGCACAGATCGTGCTAGGGTGTTTTCCCATGATTTGAAGTCTAGAGTAATAAATCTTTGAACATTATTAGGAGATGTCAAAAGTGATTCTGTTTAGACTGGTCTCAGCTCCTCATTGATCTCTCTTTCCTTCCTCTCTTGAAACAAATAACCTCACATATTTTTCTTGGTTTTGTCGTTTGATTTCTTTCATGCTCCTAAACATTTTTAAAGGTCTTTCCCCCCCCCACCCTGAAGAGAACTTTTCATCTTGAGCATTTACTGCTTCCATTTGCCACCAGATACAGTGGCATCATGTGACCTTTTCATATTGATATTTGCCATTAGAAATCAGCATTTCTTTTGGCATTTGGATTACTCATTTGTTTTGCTTTAGCTTCTACTTTCATTTTCATCCATTTTTGCCTCTTGTTCATGTACAATCCTCTGTGAAAAGAAGCAAGTGTATCTGCATTTTCCTCAATGCCAATATGGGAAAATGAGGAAAGAGAAGTTGTGCAGTCTCTTGCGTTATTCAAGACCCAACTGGTGAAGTCCCTGGGAAACATGATCTGTCTCGAACCTGACCCTGCTTCAGGCAGGAGGTTGGCCTAGAGACACTTCCAACCTGAATTATCTTCTGATCCTAAGTTGGCAAATGAAAGGACAGTTTATGAAGAAGTGGTTGGGAGTGAAGAGAGACTACAGAAGGACTATGTATATTTCAAACTCTTCAAAAATTGTTCATTGCAAAGACTCTGATGTTTACTGAAAAGTAATTAACTATTTTCTCAGAGGAAAAACCAACCCAAACTGAAACTGAAGATTTTGAACACTAATACTAGTTTAATCAATTGCAGCAACACATGGTTGCAGTGGCTTTTAGCAGTAATTTTTGCCTAGTATTTGTCAAAAAAACCCCCTAAACTTCTGTCACTAAAAACATCAGTCATGAAAAAGATCAAGGAAGAGCTGGTACAGCCATGTCTGTGTACATCATATGAAGGATTATAAAGATACACTACACTGAAGCATAGAGGGGAAAAAAGTCATAAATGTTAAACCATGTGAACACTCTTCAAGGACAGACTCTTAATGGCAAGTGACAAAGCTGTAGGCTTACAGAAATTCTCCTGAAAGATTTATGCTCCAGAAAAGTAAGATGTTCAGCTAGCTCAATGGGCTCCAGATGGTCAAACAGCAGGCAGGCTTTTCCTTTCTTGGAAATCTTCTTTCTCTGTGTAACTCTTCTCATCCAGTCATAGGAAGGACTGCAACAAAAAAATAGGTATAATTCTCAATTCTGTATGGACATATATGAGTGTAGCCTGCAATGTGCACACACAGTGTAAAATTACCAAAAGACAGACCATGAGCTTTCTGATCTGTGACATCCAGCACATAACTAACACTCAGAGTAAGACCCATTGAGGTGCGTAACCAGAAGAGTTTCAGAGGCATTACTGCAAATGATAAATAATAGCAGGTTTCTATCTGAACACAGGTAATGTTCTCTATGATACAGGAAGTCATAATTAGAAAATTATTTGGAAACAGAAGAACAGGTCACACAAAATTCTGATACAAAATAAAAGAAAGACTTGAATAATATCAAGGATTAATTCTTACTCTGTAAAATCACAGGGCCATGAAATAACGGAACAACAGAAAGAGTCAGTCAAACAGTTAACAAAATAGTAAGCGGATGGACAAAAAGGCAAATCATTTGCTTGCAATAAATGGAATAATTTCTATCCATATACAGTAAAAGCACTTCAGAGAGCAGAAAGTTTGCTAATAATATTTTTAAATGAAGATTTAAGAGGCAACACTTATGTAATTTCACTGGTATTGTTCATGCAGGAAGTCTTGCAAACTTCATTGAGAATAATAGTGCTGTCCTTCCAGGTTACTATGCCATTTTTAAATAAGGAAAAATCACTACACATATGCCACATCTTAAAAGAAAACCTACAAAATCAGATGAGATACAAAAGCCTGTCTGGTGATGTTTAAAAGGTAACTTTCACTTCAGTGTGCCAAGGAAATAGTAGTGTAATCATTTTGATGCAATAAAACTACAAATGTGAATGCTAAAGAGTATCCAGTTAAATCATAGAAAACAAGTATGCAGAAAGCCATCAAAAAAAAAAAATTAACAGGTTACTGATGAAAGAACAAAAACGCTTCCCTGAGAAAATGCAAGATTTACACAGCATGCAAGTCACTGCTCTGCTTGTCATTCTGTGTGAAAGATTATAGGAAAAAAGGTAATATTAATCAATTAATTGGCACTAGTTTTGTCAGCAAAATTATTTGTTTCCCATTTATGTTAAAAACTTACACACAGATAAGAATCTTTTCTTTACTCTGACACTCCAACTAGAATTTAAAATTTGTAGTAACTTCAAATTTAGAAGACAATATAATCTTTTTGTAACTGCTTTTTTTGCACTCAAGATGGCCCTAAGCATTTTTATGTTTTGCACTGAACTAGAATTCTACGAGTTAGAGAGAAAGTAGTTGAAGGTCTTGACATCCTTACATGCTGGAGATATCAATGAGGTGGATGTGATCCTCATATCCAAGCTGGCTGGCTACTTCTCGAAACTCTTCAGTCAAACGAACCAGCCCAAGATCCAAATTAAACTCTGCAGGAAATTCCAAAATCCAGTATCTGAAACCCAAAGATAGCAGTTCAGACATGCCCAGGGATTCAGGCATAACATTCTGTGTCTGCGTACATGTACATACATTTTATTTACTAGGACTTCTTTTAGGCCCACTGGTCTTTGATCAGAATGGGTAGACTACCTCAGCCTGTTGCTTCTGTAATTATCTGTGACACTGAAGTGGCAAAAGCCACTTTATCATATAATTTCCTTTGGTTAACTTATCACAGCACAACACAGCAGTGTTGTACTGAAATGCAGAATTAAAGTGATGTCTCAACTGCGCACACAAAAGGCACACACACATGTCCTGATTCAGGCTGCCAGGAAACCCAAATGACAGTTGCACTTAGCCCTTGTCCAAGTGACACACTCTGTCTGCTCAGAAAATGAAAGTAAAACTGTGAATTTGAGTGACAGTTTTACCATGATAACCATGTAAATAAGATGTCTCCTCTGCTATTTAAATGGGGTGTGGAAAAGGCTCTGTCAGTCCTGTTTATCAATACCCCCCCCCTTGCCTTTCTTCACAGTGATATAACTTAGTCCAGAGGAAGGAGGAAAAAATGTTTGAAGGAAGCAGATTATGTCATATTAACTTAAAAATTCATGTTTTCTCTTTTATGGAGACATGTTCCTACACAAGCACAGCTTCACACATAAAAGATTTCGCATACAAACAAGGTCAGAGACGGTGCAGAGATCAGAACATACTTGACCGGTAATGGTCAAAGAGTCAAACTGGCATCATTAACACAGTTCTGTCACCATAAATCACGTAGGGATTGTGTGAAGTTGACAGCCCCGAGACAACTTTACTATACTAGATTACATCTGGAAGCAAAATATGTCTCTCCTCTCTGTGGCACTGAACTAGTCTTCCTCTAAGAGATGTCACACTCAAACATCATGTAAATCATACCACAGGTTTTCAAACAGCTTTTTAGCTCAATGCAGCTAAGTGTCTTGAAGTCTGAACAGCTCAACTTAATTGTTTTCAAATCAGAGAAATTAATTCCTCGCTATGGACTGGCGATCAAGTTAAAAAAACCAAACCCAAACCCAACCAACCAAAAAGCAAAGCTTTATATTTTTATATTTCCATGGTTTAGTTTTAATCTTTACAGAAAGAAGAAATTACATTGATAGTATTCAGAGAGGCATAAAACCAAAATGCTAGAGGATCAGAAGCATACTTACCTCATGAAGTAACAGATTTTTAATCTGAATTCATTGCAGTTCTCCCCATTGGCATCTCTATACGTATGCTAGTTAAAGAAAGCTTTGTGTGCCTTGATTTAGTAATGCTCTTTTTAACCACAGAAGACTAACACTAGGCCAGCTGAATAAAAACCGCTATAAAACTTTTCTTCTTGAGATAACCACAGTATGCTCTGATATTTCATTCACTTTCACAGCATCTTAAGAGACGAAGACCATTTCCTGGCTGCCACTTCATTTTTTGCACTAGCAAAAATGTCTCTATTCTACTATTCTGAATATTCTGCTGAAGGGTTTCTTGCCAGCTCTGGCTAACAAAATGTGATTACCGAATTCTTTGAGAGGTGTAAGTGACATATAGGTGCTTAGCTACCACTGAAAGTTCACACTAGTCAAAGGCCAGCCTGCCATGATACATTTGAAAAGTTAATCTTGGCCACATATTTCTACTTACTCAAAGTTAATGCAAAGTATGCCTCAGTATGCTTGTACATACAGAAAAGGTCCACAAGCAGTAGCATAAAGAAGCTCTCAGACTTCCATGTTTTAAGTTGAAAAAACTTCACCTCCAAACCTTATTTGTCATTCATAAATTGACACATTTTTACATGCAGTCACAGAAACAATCTGCTTTTGACATTGTAATGTTGATTTCCAAGACTTTGTGAAAGGATATGTGGACAGAAGCTTGCCAGCCAGCTCTGTGGAAGGCAGATACCACCGGTGCATTAAAAGAAAAGTTCTTGGCAAATGGTTGGAGCACCTATTTCCTTTGTCATCTGCAAAAAAGAAAGAGTTAACCACATAATTCACGAACAGAGAGGAGCTTTTCTTCTGTAAGTGGAGTCAGATAGAAAGATTGAAAGTGGAAATGTTGGTTTATTATCTACCAAACAGGTAGGAAATAATACCAAAGCACAAAAATGCTCCTTTAATGGCAGCTATTTCAGATTGTAGTGCTAGGTATCTATGGGGAAAAAAACCCAAACAAGTGCAGATAATGGGCCATAGCAAAAAAACCAAACCAAACCAAAACAAAAAAACAACAGGGCAGGGACAGCACTATTCTAAATGTTATTCAAAGGGACTGCCAGTAACCCAAAGAAAGAAACCAAAATTAGTCCACCAAAAGTGTGGGGAGATGATTATGTACAACCGCTTCCAATAAGCATTTTAATGCAGCTTTATAGTTTTATGTTAACAATTAGATTATTAAAAAAGGGATCTGCCTCAACTACTTCAATGTCAAAGCAGCAGTTCACATCTGCACCCAGGGTCCCATCTCCAGCTGCTTTACAGACCAAGGTGTCTTTGCAATATGGCCACTGAAACTACAGAGAGTTATTCCCTGGCAGGGTAGCTGGCCATCAGTCTTCCTCATCATCTGCAATCTTGGATTATTCTCTGTATGTCACTCTTTTAGATTATATGCATGTGTGAAACAGGAACAACACAGGCACTACACTTTTCCAGAGAGTGTGTATACAAGGAAGAGAGACATGATTTCCAACAGACAGTAAGTATATGGGCTCTGATAATACTTTCATGAGATTTTAGAAAAACAGGTTTGATTGCAGTCTAGAGAAATGCTTATACAGGGATTCACTACAGCCACTAGCAAGACCTGTTTGTCCCTCAATTATTTAACCTCTCTCACCTTTAGATACTTGTTTCTTTCCACAAGGGAAAACAATTAATACCTCATTCCAACCAAAAGCTGTCCTGCATTTCAAAAGAACCTAAATGTAGCTTTGTGAATTAAGGCCCCATTTCAAACTAAGACCATCCATGAACTCATCTGACTGCAATGTGACATATGTCATGATTAATGGTGCTATGAATCAAAGTCTATTTCATCACTTCTTTCCCTCAGACCTGGTACATCACAGTTTAATAAGAGTAAAAAGATTACATGAGCCTTAAGTCATATTCATGTCAATTATTCCATGATGCTTCAGAAAACCTTTCAAAAAAATGACTAGTCAGAAATGCAGCTGTGTAACCACTTAAGACAAAGATCAATGCCAAAAATAACTCCTTGAATAATTCAGCTAAACACTTCTTTTGGTGAAGGCCAGCATTTTAAAAAACACTATACTTGCCATTGTGCATTATCTGTATTACGAAAATTTAATACAGTGTGCATGTGATTGAAATTCTGGCTCGTGATTCTGGGCCAAAACGAAACATGGAAAAATTTACAGAACTGAAATGTTTTTTGCCAAGGGAAAGACTGGCTCAATCAGAGAACAGCAGGGGTTATGTTATAAGATGAACTTCAGGAACAGCAAAGTAAAATATTGAAAACGTGTACCAAACATTTCAATACAAGTGTTCAAAAGCTCATCCAATGTTGCAGCCTTTCCAAGTGTGTTTGACCCCATTGTCCTTTAGTTGTTGTCAAAAAATAAGGGACATTTTCACCAAGTAGAATGATGCTTCTTCAGCTGCACAGCTTTTTCACTTTATTTTGTAGGTTGTGTTCTTAGCTGGACTTCAGGGAAAATCTGGAGAAAATAAAAGAAATCACAATTATGTGGAAGACTTATCAGGATGCAATGTTTACAATACAGCTAATCTTTTCTGTAAGCTGTTTTTTCCCCACATGATACAGAGCACGTGAAAGA